CAAGAAGTGCCGCGGATGTTCGTAGTTTCCTGGGGTTAGCAGGATACTACAGGAGGTTTATCGAGGGCTTCTCGAAGATAGCCCAGCCACTGACCAACCTTACGAAGAAAGTCGTAAGGTTTGATTGGAGTCCTCAGTGCGAGGAGAGTTTCCAGGAGTTGAAGAGGAGACTCGCTACCGCGCCTGTCCTATCTATACCCGACCCTACTTTGGAGTTCACCATCTATAGTGATGCTTCGAAGATGGGCTTGGGTTGTGTTTTCATGCAGCAGGGGAAAGTCGTAGCCTATGCTTCGAGGCAGCTGAAGCCTCACGAGCAGAAGTACCCCACTAATGATCTCGAGTTAGCTGCAGTTTTCCATGCCTTGAAGATTTGGTGGCACTACCTCTATGGAGGCAAGTGTGAGATCTTTACCGACCACAAGAGCCTAAAGTACATCTTCACTCAGAAGGAGCTGAACATGAGACAGCGTAGATGGTTGGAGCTGGTCAAGGACTACGACTGCACTATTAGCTATCATCCTAGGAAAGCTAATGTGGTAGCCGATGCCCTTAGTCGGAGGAGTTATACCCAGTTGTCTTGCTTATTCACCAGGCAGGATGTTCTTCTTCGGGAGTTCGAGCGATTGCAACTAGAAGCAGTGGAGTCGACTTCGACAGCCGGGGGCATGTTGGCTTCTTTGGTTGTGGGACCGACTCTTTGAGAGAGGATAGTCGCCGAGCAACCGAATGACCGTTTCTTATGCCGGATGGGGGAGTTGTCAGCAGCTGGTAAAGTTGGAGGATTTGCAGTCACTTCTGATGGGGCCTTGGTCTTCGAGGGTAGACTTTGTGTTCCGAAGGTGTGGGAACTGCAAAGGGAGATTCTGAGAGAGGCCCATAGTGCCCCGTACACCATCCGTCCTGGTAGCACGAAGATGTATCAGGACCTGAGGCAATCTTTCTGGTGGCGAGGCATGAAGAGGCAGGTGGCGAAGTTCGTGGATGGGTGTCTGGTGTGTCAACTAGTGAAGGCTGAGTGCCAGAAACCTAGAGGGTTGTTGCAGCCCCTTGAGGTTCCCCTGTGGATGTGGGAGTGCATCACCATGGATTTCTTAGTGGGACTGCCGAAGTCGAGGGGTGGGTATGATTCGATTTGGGTGATAGTGGATCGCCTTACGAAGTCTGCCCATTTTCTGCCAGTCCGGATGACCATGAAGGCGAGTGATTACGCCGAATTGTTCGTCAAGGACATTGTTAAGCTTCATAGGGTGCCCGTGGAGATTGTTTCGGATCGAGATACCAAGTTCACATCCCAGTTCTGGAGGACGTTGCACCGAGCCATGGGGACGAGGTTGGAGTTCAGTACAACCTTCCACCCCGAGACAGATGGTCAGTCGGAGCGTGTGATCCAGTACTTGGAGGATATATTGAGGGCTGTGGTCTTGGACCGAAGGTTGACTTGGGAGTATGCCCTTTCGCTAGTCGAGCTGACCTACAACAACAGCTACCACTCTTCGATCAAGATGGTCCCGTACGAGGCTTTGTATAGAAGTAAGGTCCGAACTCCTTTGTATTGGGATGAGGTTGGAGAGAGGAGGATTACGGGTCCGGATTTTGTTCAGAGCACTGTAGCGACAGTTGAGAGATCCGGTGGACTATCAGGTCTGCCCAAGAGAGGCAGAAGGTCTATGCCGACCGGGAGAGGCAAGAGCATGTTTATGCAGTGGGAGATCATGTCTTCTTGAAGGTTTCACCCATGAGAG